GTGATGATACTGAGGATCTTCCATTGTCTCGCTTTGATTCTATTATTATAGACATTTCTTTCCAAATTCAGGAACAGGTCTGAATGAAATGGGACTCTTGTGTTGTGTATGATTGCATCAATCAACTGTAGACGAAAGCATATAATACTATACCTACCGTATACTTTTGTTATTTCTTTTGTTCCTCACTTTTTGTCAGACGGCCAGACGTAAGTACCGATTAATTCGAACCGCACCCGCACATCCGAGCCAACAGTACCTACCTGGTACCTGGTAGCGGTACACTTTTATTTCTACCGGCATCCTTGCTTTAAGTTCGCTCTACTTTTCCAGGGACTTTTGGTTTCTCAATTTCTTTCGATCAAACTGCAGCACCGGGATATATTTGGCACTGGGAATGACAGCATAAGATCCTATTTACTATTTTTGAAGATCCTTTAAAAGACGGCAATGTTCATTGAAGTTGGTCCCTTTGTGGTGGATTATATAGATATACAAATTAGTATGGTACAGAGGAATTTGGGTCAACCCGGGTTAGTACAGTGCCGGTACCGGGTACCGGTAGAAGCTGAAAAAAACGACGAGGACGCACGTCAGATAATGAAATCATAAAAGTTACTGTGTTGTTTTTTCCATGGAACTAATACAAGTACGGTACCATAAATGTAGGGAAACCGGAGAAAAAAGCAGCATGGAAGCTGGCAAAATATGTTGACACCACTTTGGAGTAACAATACATGGCATTTCGTCTTTTTCACTGTGCGAATTAAATTTTAAGCATATTGAAGTTCGTCAATTCTCCGCTAAATTGCTCGAGGTCCTCACTCCCTCATAAAATTCAATTTGAACCAAAACAACAACCCAAACCCAAACCCAAACCCTACGTTAAGATCATGTGTGCTCCAACCAAAATGAACGTCATCACAGCTGATATGACCAGAACCAGTCACATGCAGAAAGCCGGCGATCTGAAGACACAGCTGATCTTGCCAAGGGGCCCTCTGCGAAGAAGAAATCGCTCATCACTGTCCGAACGAAGATCACGAGAACTTCTCAGCGACAGCAGCGACCGCCTATCAGAGCTCATCCGAAAGAACCAAAGTTGTTTGGTCGACTTCGAAAGTGATGATGAAAGCGACTTGGAAGAAGACTACTAAGGCGCTAGGAAACAAAAGCAATCAATTTTGAACATATTCCCCGGCTTCTTGTCTGGAACGTGCAGACAGGGGGTATCGGTACGAGTATGATTGTACATTCCTTGAACATTATGAAAACAATAACTGTAACAATAGAGATTTTGAAATCAATACAACAAACGGCATTACTACCATAGCTCTAGCTCGTTGTATTACACCCAAATGGTACTCAGTTTGAAGTTGGGAACAATGTTTGGCCTCAGTCCATAGAACAGCAGCTGCACAACACCTTAGCACCCCAGCGATATAGAGACCGCGGGTCTTTCGGAGAGCTGACTGAGCCAACTGATGCATAGAATCACCGCCGTAGGAGCTGACAAACCATGAGGAACAAGTCCCTTACTACCCGCAAGACTTCCATGAACATTGAAGTTCGGAGTTCGTAGTTCATTGGAAGAAAAACGGATAAACACATGAAGATGTCTCCGAAATAAGGATACTCGTACGATACCGCAAAGGCACTTGGGTCGTTGTGGGGGATAGGCACACGGATGAAGACTCAGTCGGCATAGGAGCTGACAAACCACCAGGAGGATGATATCTGAGATCCGCTTGACTACATAAGACTTCAATGATCATTATTGAAGTTCGCCTTGTTTTCCGGGGAGTTAATTAGGAAAACGGATAAAACAGCACACTGTGGGAATTGCTGCATATTGAAGTTGGTCATTTTATCCGAGAACAGGACCAAGGCGAAATCTACACGAAGTTGCTCGAGGTCCTCACTCCCTCATAAAATTCAATTTGAACCAAAACAACAACCCAAACCCAAACCCAAACCCTACGTTAAGATCATGTGTGCTCCAACCAAAATGAACGTCATCACAGCTGATATGACCAGAACCAGTCACATGCAGAAAGCCGGCGATCTGAAGACACAGCTGATCTTGCCAAGGGGCCCTCTGCGAAGAAGAAATCGCTCATCACTCTCTGAACGAAGATCACGAGAACTTCTCAGCGACAGCAGCGACCGCCTATCAGAGCTCATCCGACAGAACCAAAGTTGTTTGGTCGACTTCGAAAGTGATGATGAAAGCGACTTGGAAGAAGACTACTAAGGCGCTAGGAAACAAAAGCAATCAATTTTGAACATATTCCCCGGCTTCTTGTCTGGAACGTG